CTCCACTGCACAACACAACTCACTCCTTTCAGCAGGATCCTCTGATTATCTGGATAGCATTTTCATGGGACTAGAGGGGCTGCTGTGGGGAGGAGGTGTTGGAGGGAGCAATTTTTGCCAGCTCACTTATTTGCACATGCGTAAAACTGACTCCAACTACTGTGTTTGATTTTGGTCTTTTTCTCCTTCTGATGCTTGTACATTAGAAGCAGGAATAAGGTGCAATTAGGAAGCATGTGATTAGGAATTGGTTTAATGCAGTTGAAACTCCCATAAATTCCTTCCATTATATGGAAGGAAGAGATTTATAGAAGCACACAGGGAACAACACATTCCAAGATTAGATGCATTAGCAATTTTGATCTCTAAGATCCTGATGCACGGATGCAGATTATCCAGTTGGGTATTTTGGTTTAATTTGTTTCTTTGACCCACTGTTTTTTCCTTGACATGCATCTAACAAGAAGTCCATCCTTTGGCAACATTGCCCAGGAAACCTAGGCACTGGAAATTTGGCTATTAAAGGGGCATGATGGGTGCACACTTTGGGTTATTTTTGAGTTATTAAAATGCATTATTTTAATTAACAAATGCATCCATACAGTTGATACCTACAGCAATATATTCAGTCACTAGGAGACTTTGAACAAAAGAGGAAAATATGACTATGTTAACAAGAGTTCTCTTATCAATATATAAACCAAATGAGTAATAAATAATTAAATACTCTTCACAGCTAAGCAATTGGTGCCTGAAAACAGGTGTACTTGCATGAAGTCCTACCCAAGAGGACAGGTGTATTTGCATGAAGTCCTATCCATGTAGTAGAGTGAATAATAATATTGAATCATTCTTAGTTTTCCTTATCAAAACAACTGGATTGATTTGTGTCTATCTTCATATGTGAGTGATTAGGTAGGAAGAAAATGAACGTAAGACTGTACATCCTGATCGCGACACCATTGCAGCCCATCTTTTCATAAATGACAGTCATGGTCTGTTGAGGTTTTATGACTTTGAGTTCAGATAATAAAAACAATATGGCACTGTCTTTCCCCCTACTACTCTGCTTTTTCCCCTTCTCTTGACAACCGCTTTTCTTTTATCAAGGCTCCAAGAGTAGAAATCCAGTAGAGAGAGAACTAACTTGAGGGAATTCTGCTGGTAGGAGAGGAAGAAGGTGAAGAAAAGGTTCAGCATCCCCATTCTGTCTGTTGCATTTCCACTTGACATCACCCCTGGTTCCCCATTATAGTTAGCAGGGTCTGTCCAATGCCTGAAGACATAGTCAGTGGTTGCCATGTTGCCCTTAATGTACAGTTCCAAAGCAAAATGGGGAGAGGGGGACACTTGTTTCCTAAAAATGCGGCACATGAAACTAATGAGCCTGAAATGTTATGAAAGACAAAACCAAAATGGATAAACGACAGCTCTAAATATTGTGATACTGCTCATAGAAGGACAGATACTGAAGATGAAACTCAAATATTTTGGGCACCAAATGAGAAGGAAGGACTCCCTGGAGAAGAGCCTTATGCTGGGAACAATTGAAGGCAAAAGAAGAAGGGGACGGCAGAGAATGAGGTGGTTGGATGGAGTCATGGAAACAGTTGGCGTGAGCTTAAGTGGACTCTGGAGGATGGTGGAGGACAGGAAGACCTGGAGGAATGTTGTCTGTGGGGTCGCAGTGGGCTGGACACGACTTTGCAACTAACAACAGCAACAAATATTGTGAAACTGGTCTACTATATCAGGTTTTGGGGACGATGTGGGCATATACAGGTAACAGCTTTTTCCAGTGTTGCTTGTGTGCCTAATGTCTGGTGCAGGAATTTATGGTGAGAGCATGTGTGAGATCTAAAAATATGGACCAAACAGCCTGGGTTGAAATGGCAGCTGCCATGGGGGGAAAGGTAGGAGGGTCTTAATTAAATCCACAAGCTCAATCCTCCAGCTCCCCAATTTCAGCCAAAATACAGCCTTTATAGTCTTCCAAAAATGGTATGTATGTGGACTGTCAGAAAAGGTGGAGTTGAGTCCCTCCTAATCCCCTGTAATTTGAGGACTGTATCAAATATCTGGACAAGCAAGAAATCATGGGCATGTTTAGACTGAAGTGAGTACTTGTACACGGGATACATACTGATCTGCCTAAACACTACCATAAGAGAGGTAGTGGATGGAGAAAGGGCTTGGTACCTCCATCCTATCTGCAGTTTTTCCACTTGAAATCACCCCGTGTTCCCCCTCTGCAGATATCTGAGGTGACTATATACCCTCATATGTGTGTGTAATATAAATCCTAAATATATAAACTATTTCATATGTTGACTATGAAATCTTGCAATTTCACACAAATCTGAACATCGGTTATTACCATTGCTTTTTATTTTGAAAACTAATGCAATTCCCAAAGTACAAGTAATTAATATTTTATAATATATATTAGTTTCAACACTGCATCCCATGCAGACAATTCATAATAAATGTCTTTTCTCAAGCTTTCCCGCCCCGACCCAAATTGGATTATGCCATAAATTCAAGTATGTAGAAAGGCCTTGCATTGGTATGAGATAAATAATTTGTTGCTTAGAACCTCCTTCCTGCAGAAATTAACTGAATGGATTCTTTATTTAAAGGGAGTTTCTGAATGGGGCTTTCTTTAGGATTGGATATGGTCAACACATCTAAATCCTACCATTTTCATGCACTGCTTCTTTAGCTAGCCATGCATCTCCAAATGATGCATGGGGTTGGTGGAGGCTAGCATTATGATTTATTTACGTCTAGCTGCACATAACACTAACCCATGGTTTATTTAACCTATGGGTTGTTGAATTCTGGGTTGTTGTGATGTGTGAACCTAGCCACACTAACAAGCCAAAAAAAAACCGGATGTCTATATACCAGTGCTAAAATAACATAAAAACATTTGGGATTTAGGCAAGGAATGGGCAAAAGAGGAGGAAAACAACTCAGAGATTTAGAAAACAAGCCATAGTTTGTTTGTCCAACTGCCACACAAACACTGGGTATGGCAACAAGTCATGGGTTAGATAAACCAAGGGTTATGTGTGGGATGTGGGAGATAAGCAGGCATTAATGGGTACATGACATGCAGGCACTTCCACTTTTAGTTGACAACCTGTGATCAGGTTAATAGGTTGTTAAATGTGATGTGTGAACCTGGAACAAGGGGTTATTTAGGAGCTAAACAATGTAGGTATTATCCCAAGAACAAACCATGCATTAATCACTATGTTGTTTAACCTCCAAATAATCAAATAATATGGGTTCACATGTCATGCTGAACAACCAATGAATAAGCGGATCATAAGTTTTTGGTGACCGGTGTGCAGGCAGCCATGTGCTCATCTGTCCTGTTCATGCATAAATTGTTTAAACCATGGGCTATCATTATGTACCAACCATTATGTGTGAATCTGATTAAAGTGCCAGCACAGGACATACACTTGCTTATATACTTCCAGACAAGTATTAAAATGGCCAAACAATACCTCGTAAAGACATCCCTATTGGAGAATTTAAGAACTGTATCTCAAATTCTTCTCTTTATTGAAGCTTTTTAAAAAATCTTTGTGACCCTGGGCCATACTTCCACAAGAGTGGTCAGTGCATGAATTATGGTCGTGTCCTTTTCTTTCAGGGGTTTCTTCTTCACCCCAGCCACACACTCCAGCTGGCACACCCCTGTTGGACAGCACGCACATGGTCCTTAGAAAGCACCATGAGGATGTGAAATCACAATTGTGTTGCATCCTAAGTAGGGTTCCTCCACACACACTATCCTTTAAAAAATGGCTAAGCAAAAAAGGGTGGAATCTTGTCAACATCTCCATTTCTACTTTGCCTGCATCTACATCTCTGTATGGCTATAGTTATACAAAATCAGCTATGTAGTGTACATGGCATCATTTTCTCCTGAGAAAACCCCTTAGGCAAACAGGCTCAGCCTGGACTTGGAATGTAGATGCAAAAGTTTAGGACACATCCTCATCATCAATTGAAAGTGACATCCTCTTTTCATCCCCCAAGCAAAGCAGCACAGCTGCCACAAGTATTCTGTGTATACTGTTGTTACTTTGTGCAATTTCCCCATACAGCAAGGGAGGAAAACCCAAACTGCCTGGGATGTCAGATGACCCCCAGCCCATGTGAGCCAAATGATGTCAGAAAGATATCTGTTTTAAACTTTAAAACAAATAAGATACTTGTTTTAAACAATCAGGGCCAAACTACATGTTACTTTAAATCAATGAAGGAGAACTTCTGGGAAGCAGATGATGGCGGGGAATAAACCTCTTCCCTTGAAGCCCCTTCTCCAAGTTCTATCCCTTTCTCTTTGCACAGAGAAGAATGTGGCAATCACTCCATATCTCTCTGTAAGGGGTGGATGTCAGGGAGAGGGGTGGGAAGGGTGGGAGAGAGGGAGGGCTGGCCCTCTGGTATCATCCAGCTCCCAGTGGTGTCTCTGGAAGCAATTCAGCCCTCAGGGCCTGAACACTTCCCCACCCCTGCCTTAAACTCAGGGCAATAGCCAATACACTTCCCTGAGTTTCCTGGTATTGTTTGGTTAAGAGAGACTTATGATACAGTGTCAGCATGTTGTTAGGAGTCTCCCACACCTCGGTACATGCCAACCAATATATACATCAAGAATGGAAATACAGAGCATGATCGCATCCCAGCATGTACCTATGAAATATTTCTGGGAGCAACAGGAGAGAGGTGCTGCTTGTAACATGTGGATCGGCCATCAGGAAATATGCAAAACTTGGAAAGATACATATTCCTTTCTTTGATCTATGCAGGTATGCTCACAAAACATTAACAATGAAAAGTCTTGTGACATTCTAAGGACTCACAATGTCATTCTTGCATACACTTTTGTGGACAACGTCCACTCCCTCAGATGCTAGATGTACTGTGTAACATACGTACACCAGAATAAATTTAAAAACTAACAACTTATTCTGGCATCTCATAGCGTCTGAGCATCCATGAATGCTTATGCTAGAATACATTGGTTAGTCTTCAAAGTATCACAAGACTCTCTCTGTTGTTGATTTTAGTTGATTAACAGACTAATATGGCTACCTCTCTGGAAAACAGAACTTCAATTAGCCTCTGTATTAAGATGTAGATTTTCCTGTAGGAGAGTGCTGGGCTGGTGGCAAGATCTGGAATGGAAAGCAATGCCTTAGAACACACAGTGTTACTTCTGGTACAAGAACCCATATCAGATTGAAAAACAATTCACTAGCATTTTCAGGGATCTGTAGCAGCATATTACAGGAATATTTGCCACACTATCATGCTGCTGGGGGGAGGGGGGATAGAAGAACTGTTATATAAGCAGACCAGAAAAGAAGTACAGAAACCAAAAAATCCACACCAATTCCAAAACATAAAACCTATATGTGCCATAAGACTGCCTTGATACGAGACGGGATCCTGATCCCTACATAAATATAGTTGTTAACAGAATCAGAAATAGTGCTGAGCAGGGAAGGAAAATGCAAGAGAATCTACTTTCTAGTTATGAATGTTGCAATTATCAACAGAACTAGTGATTAGAACTGGCACTTTAAAACCTGTAATAAGAATGTAAAGTAAACTAGCTAACTGAACCGTAGAGCCTATTGTGAGTTAGTAATTCACAACAGAAATAAGATGAGTAATGTTGCTTTTTATGGTCTGATGCCAAGTTTGGTATATATTTTATCCCCTGGCTGGTTTAGCTGTCAACTAGGGCTGATTACTGTCAATGGCAAGGCCTTCTTAATTAAGACTTTCCCGCTCCTAGCTTGAATTTATGCTGCCATTACAAACAAATATGAAGGTGGCATTTCAGAACCAGCCTAAGCAACCCCCAAGCCACAAATGTCAAGTGCTGCATCTGAAAAGTGAACTATTCAGACTGCAAGCCACACCAGTCCTTCCATGAGGCTATTGCCCCATTGGGATAAGCCCCCCAAGGGATATTTAGATGGTAAATTTCAATATGTCAGCTGGAAAGCTGAATTTTCCCCTTTCCTAAACTTTCTTTGGGACAGCTTTATGTATTTGTTTACCTACCGTATCAGGGCTTTCAAAGATTGTATCTAGTGCTCCCCACAATGTACAGTGGCAACAGTGGTTACCTGTACCATCTAGTTATAGTATCTGGAAAAAGCAAGAAGAACAGAAGATGTTTTCTACTGGCATAGTAACTAGCTATGGATGGCTACACCTGATAATGCCTGGTGTGAAGTGGGTTATTAACACCTTTGCAATGAAGTCTTTACCTCATGGTAGAATTTCTTGTTGATCCATCTAGTAGCCATATGCCAGCTTTGCATGCCTTCTCCATGTTTTTAGATCCACATCTGGTATCCATTTTTATTACCTTTGGGAACTTCCTTTTTAATTGTGTTTCCTTTTCCCTTTCCCCCTTTACTGTTTCTTCAATTGTATTTATCATGAAATAAACAGGAGATGGGAGACACTTGATGCTTAAAGGTGTAGAAGCAAGAATACAGGAGCATTTCTCAGCACTGATCTGCTTCAACAAATCCTTCCTTCTCGTGCCCAGCTGGTTCCACTTCAGTATATGTTGCATGGTTTCTGAACTTCATAGCAGGCCATTGGTGTGGTCTCCGCTGAGGGGGGGTCAGGACAAAAGAAGCACATCAGCTTGTGAAAAAAGAAATAATTTAAACATGTGTGCACTCTGATCCTATATATCAGGACTGCTGAATGCCTTTCAGTCCATGTGCCAAATTCCATTTGCGGGGGCTGTATTTCAGAGGTGGGAAGAGCCAGAGACAAAAAGGTGGGACCAAAATATCAGCAACTATTAACCTGAAGTCCTTACTAAAGGGCATTTCATGGGGGAAATGCACAAATGCCTGGAGACAAGATCTCTTGCGCGTGCAGGAGCTCTGCCCTGCATATGGAGCTCTGTCCACAAAGGAAGGGAACAAAGCAGTGGCACAGCCTCTCCTCTGCATGCAGGAGGTTCCAGGCTCAATTGTTGCCAGATCCAGTTTTAAAAGGGTGATGGGAAAAGCCCTTGGGCTAACATAGTGGAATATAAGTTTTTAAATAAACAAATACCTAAATAAATAAGAGGCCTCATCCCCCCTGAGCTACTGGGGTACTGCTGGTGGTCAGTGCGGAAAATAATGACTCATTGGATTAATAGACAGACCTCAGAGAAGTCAGAAGAAGAAAGCAATTGCGGTCAAAAAGCTGGTTGGATGAAAGGAACTAACTCTATTAATAAAACTAAGACAGCTTGTCCTGGCAGAAGCGATCTGTTTACATGTCAATGTTCCGGACTCGAGTGATTCTGTGGGAGCAACTTCTGTCACCTTTGTTGAACCAGAAACATATGGTTTACAGTTGGTTTTCTTTTTCTTGAATAATATCTGCAAGCACAGTTCAACTCAGGGCCCTAGGAAGATGTCAGTACACTGAGCTGCCTCTGTGCGATGGTATTTGAAAATGCAGGATAAATAAATCTATAATGCAGCACTCGGTATATTCTGAACCAAGTATTCTGAGCTTTATATTCAAGAAAAAACATTGCTACATTTTGAAGCTGTTTGGAAGAGGCTTTCACAGGAAGATGATGTTAAGGAAGGAGAAAAGAAAGAGTAAAAATTGGACTTTCTTTGCTGTTATATTCAACCATTGGTGATAAACAGGGGTTACACTAGGTACCAAAAAAGATCTGGAGCTCAGACCCACAGAACAAAACAAAACACAAATCATATGCTAATTTACATCTGCTCTAAAGAAGCCTGTCTTCTAAAGGCACCCCTATTTGTCAAAAGGGATATAGGGTTAGGGTTAGGGTTAGGGTTAGAGAGGAGGGTATTTGCTTTTAGGAAAAAAAACCATAGGCAGAAAGATTCAAAGGAGGTAACAGGAGCAGAAAGCAATGTGCACAAAACACCAGCTAATCCAGAGGGCTCTGATACAACAAAGATAATCAAGGCCCCTTATTTTGACACATGCCCATGGACGGGACAGGACAGGAGAGATGGCCTCCCAAAAATTCAGGTCTCCAGCTGCAGAGGACCAGTTTCCCTTACACTGCTTCTGATGATAAGAAAAGGTACGCAAAGCAGCCTTTTAAATATCCTGCAAAGAAATGTTACAAAGACTTTGCAGGCAAGAGAGCTGTTGCATGGAAATGCTGTACACATTTGCAGGTGGGAAACCTGTTGGCTTGTGAGTAAACTTGGAAAAGTGTTGATAATTGAACTTGTTCTTCAGCAATTCACTCCTGCTTACTTGCCCTGTTCCGCTCAGGAGCCTTACAATGGTAATAATTATATTTGTCCAAACCCACAAATGGAATGTGCTCCCCCTTTCCCATTTTTCGGTTTGGCCCTTGGACTGAAAGTTCTCCACCCCTCGCCTAGAATTTGTCATTTTCTTTTCCAAGTCATTACTAGAACGGAGTTTAGAGCAGGGACACAGTAGACTAGGCCTCAGATGGTGAATGTGGCTCTCAGTTTTTAAAAGAAAAGTATAGACACCACAAAACTGTGAGGGTACAAAAGAACAGTTTTTTGAGCTCACCTCAATGAAGAACAATGCAGCACTAGAGGTAGGCTTGCTGCTGATGTAGATGCCAGCAAGGATAATGGCAGCGATGAGTAGGATGGCCAAGACTATACCAACAATTGTTCCCGTGTGCAGCTGGGATCCCACTTTCTTTGTTGGGAATTCATCTCTAGAACCTGCAGAGGAGGTTTTCATGAAAGGGAAGGAGAAACATAGTTTATAGATTCCTCATATTCAATTTTTAAAAATCAAGTCAGATAAAAATGGTAAAAAGATGAATAAGTTATGCTCATGTATCTAAACGAGGATGAAGGTCTGCGGCAGAGATAGTTTTCTAAATACCATTATTCACAGTGACTCTGGGCTGGACCAAGCTGTTGTGAATTACAGATAAGGTAAAGTGCCTTTTAAGATATAGTGGTCAAGGACATTACTTCTGGGGGAGTAATAAGGCCATGAAATTCAGAATTCAGAAACTATTTCGTACATTTTTCCTGCCAAACATATGCATAGGAATTCTGCAGGGCCAGACCATATATAAACAAGTGAATGGGAGGTGCTGGGATTATGGCAGCCCCTTTGCAGCAGAGTGTTGAACAGTATAGACTTGTGAACATCTTAAATTCTTTCAGATTTATGAATTTAATTAAAAAAGCCCACGGCCAATCCATGTGGAACCAATGCTACTGCAGAGGGCCCGTACTTGCATTTGTTATGTTTGGATTGGTGGGGAAGCATTGGGGAGAGTTGGGGACTCACAATTATGGGTATGTGGGCCAAAAGAATTATTGCCAGATCATAAATTCCAATTTTATGTAACATATATATTCCAAAATATGGCATATTTTCTAACTGCCTCCTGTTCCTTCTAAAGGGTTGAGATACTAGGCTATCTCCTTCAGCTGCATAGCACCTGATGGTTCCTTCCTTCTCTTTTCTCCATTAGCAGGCTGACTGTACACACTGCAAAATCCAACGATGTATTGTTGGTTCAAAGTCCTCCTTTTAGTGATTTTCCCAGGCACTTCTAAGTGGCAATGAATGAAACCCAGAGGATGGAAATCTTCTGCACAGATTTATTTATTCTGAGGGTTTAACCTAAACACACACGCAAATAGTATTTATGAGTTCCTTGTGCAAAGGTACCCAAACTGATGTACATCAGAGACATCTAATATATTTTATATTAAACCATTAAAATGCACATAATTGGTAATTGGCAGCAGCCCAGTTTCACTATAAAAGTATAAAATCCAATACTAAAATGACAGGTGATTAATTTTATTTTTCTCCAAAGAGAAGGTATACAGAAAGCCAGCAGAGCAAAATCAGTAGTAAGTATATAAAAGCAGTAGTTACAAACCCACAGTGAGAAGACAATTAAAACAACTGGAAATAAAAAGGACTACAGCTGAATGCCACTACAGAGGGGGTCAGCATGTTCTTTGGCACATAGTGCATAAAACAAAGTCATGCCCCTTGCCACGATGAATTTGATGTGGGCAAATGGAGCACAAGAGGCCTCTTTCTTCTTAGGGATTTATTTATTTATTTATTTGTGCTATTTATATGCCGTCCTATTGCAAAAGCCTCAGGACGGCTTACATAAATAAAATACAAATATCAACAGACATAAATTATAACAAAATATCAACATAAAAATCAACATAAACAAATCGACCCACTCTGGCTGCAGTTAAAAATATAATATTAAAAAAATACAATATTAAAGCTTATTAAAATATTGATGAAATAAAAAGGTCTTAACCTGGCGCCGAAAAACATATACTGAGGGTGCCAGGCAGACCTCTCTGGGGAGCGCATTCCATAGATGGGGCACCACTGCAGAGAAGGCCCTCCTCCGGGTGCTCTGCCTCCTAATATCTTTCACAGAGGGTTCCCAGAGGAGGGCTTCTGCTGCCGATCTCAGGGGGCGGGAGGGCAAATAGAGTAGAAGGCGTTCCTTTAGGTATCCAGGTCCCAAGCCGTTTAGGGACCACATGCATTGACTTGGACAAAAGCAACCTGTCTGTCTTCCTGAACTAAAACAATCATAATCTGGTTGCTGAATCCTTCTCCTGTCAACAGACTGGCTTGCAGAATTCTTTCCCATCCTCCAACTTCTAGAATGTTTTCCAGCATAGTGTGTTGCAGTAATCTAAATGGGAAGCTACCAAGGCAGTGGTCAATCCCTTCTTAAGAGAAAAAGCCAGCTCAGCAGCTACTCCTCGTGCCCATCTGGACATTAAACAGCAAAACAAGGTCACAGCACTTCTTCAGACTACAAACTTGTTCTTTCAGTGGGGAGTTTGATTCCTTCCAGCACAGGCAAATTTTATATACCACTGTACATTCAAATATGGACATTTTGGAGCAATTTACATCAAAAAATAAAAGATAAAAGCAAAAAACAATATGATAAAAACAAAATCAATAAAGCTTGTTAATTTAGGAAGTCTTCCCGATATAAGTGTCTTCAAGGAGGTGCTGACAGCCCTGTCCCTGCCTGAACTTCAGATGCAGGGAGTCCCAAAGGAGAGGCACCATTAGACTGAAAGCTCTTCTCCAGGTGGACTCCAGTTGGTCTACCGTATATCAAACAATTAGGGATATTCCATCCAAAGACCGTAGTGACCAGAAGAGGAGAAGGTGTTCTCTCAGATATCCTAGTCCCAAAATCTTAAACCTGGCCCAGTAGCAAACAGGCAGCCAGTGCATTTCCCTGAGCAAAGGAGGTGCATGCTGAAAAGGGGCAGCGTGAGCGCCAGCTTCCGGACTTTAAAAGCAGTCCCACATGGAGTGCATTGCAGAACTTGCTAAGTAAATTATTAAAAGTATTTCTGAGTTTGCATATACACATGGCATGTGCAAATATTATTCAAATCACCATCTTTTTTGCCAATGCGTTTTGTCTTTTTTATCTCTTTGATGTGAAGGCTGTTGAAGCAGCTACTCCAGGCAGCTGATAGGGGCTGTCATCAAAGGGCAGAACATGATTCGTTACTTAATCCAGTATTGTTGTATCTATTAATTTTTATGCCAAGGTGAGAAAGAAAGGAGCTTGTGTGTGTGTGTGTGTGTGCAGGGGGTTGCCCCAGGTGGCAAAATAATCTGATCAGTTCTGGGTACTCATGCACCATGATAGTGGGACTGTTGTTGTTGTTCTGCCTTAGGAGGCAGAACATCTGGAGAAACAAGCCATGTCAGTGCCCTCCTCCACAATTACATCATGGGGAGAATGGTTTGATTAACATTCTCCCTAATAAGAGCAGCTCAGTGGGGCACCTCGTATCCCAAGGACACGCACCACTTCCAGGCACATAACATTCCCGCAAAACAGCCACTAGAGAATTGGCCACTTACCTTCCCCTTCCGCATTCTGGTTCAGCTTTGTGTCATCTGTAAGAAAGAGTTAAAAGCAAAAAGAGGATATGGGCTGGCTTAACCAACTCCTCCCAAATGTTCAGATCAATTTATTGATGATCCTTCAGAAACATCATGCCTTGAATGTGGTGTCCAATTAATAAGTGGGTCGAAGGAGCAGTGGTAGAAATCCCTCTGTTGCTTTTAATATCTCATTGTTGTTTTGCATGATAGAATAGCCTGCCAGAGCTTGAGTCAAGGTGGCGGGCTACAGCATATGCTGAGCGCCATTCTGGATAGTGCCCAGCTGCAGTTTGTTGTGCCATACAAATCAGGCAGTGGGGATAGTGCAATGTTTAAACAACTGTTGTGGGGGGGCAGCTATTTTGATTGTGCGAATCAATCAAAATTGATTGTGCATGGAGTTAAGCCACTTAGGGCACAACCCTATGTGAGAAAAAAGACCTATAGCTCCCAGGGCTGGGACAATGGTAGGCTTCTGTCAAAACTTGTATAGGATTATGCCCTTCCTTGCTCAACATATGACCTTCTTTTGTAATGTTGAGTTTCTGTGTTATATTTAATGGGAATATTTTTCATTACTAAAATAGTTGCAATACACAACTGGGTTGATTGTGGTGTTTGGGTAAAATCTGATTAGAAAATGCTGCTGGTAGGAATTGAATGAAATTTTCTGCACAGTAACCTCAGATTTGCTTTGTTATAGGATGCTGAAATATTAGTTTAAGTTTAGTAACTATTAAGTAATTTGGTAAGTAGTTGTTTTCCACTCGAGACACATATTTGTTTATCTACAGACAATGCCTTAGAGGTATAGAAATTCTGTTGTATTGATTATTCTGTCTTGCACTGCTTTTATTTGTTTGCAAGCCACCCTGAAGCCTTCTAAAACATAAAGACAGCATAGAAATATTTTAAATAAATAATAAATTGATTGGAAGGAGCTGGAACCAGGCAGCTTAGCTTTCATCAGTGGGTATCCTAAATCAGTAAAGGTAGATATCACAAATCAGTGGTCACACTTGCAATTTCACCACATGAAACGTACCTAAGCCATCCTTTTTAGTATGTCTGTAAGGAATCAGCTTTACATACATCACACAAATGAAATTTTTAGAATTTTAAAAAAAGAGATTAATATTCCAATCCAAATAACATTTTTTCCTAAAGAAAGGAATTTAGATAATCTCTCTTTCGCACACAAATACACACCAATATATGTGAAGAGGTGGTTTTAATCTAGGTCATCTCATCTACTGATCTGCTTACATGGCCAATTCAGACAGGGAAAACAGACATTTCAAGAGGGTATTCCAAGAAGGAGGTCATTCATCCACTATTTTACCATTGCCTCCTGCCTTCTTTGGAAAGAATGAGTAAGTAGGAAAGAAAAGTTCTGTCTCCTCTGACATGTAACAACATCTCCTGGTAGAAAATCTTTGGAAAGTGTAGTTGTGTTCAGTGGAAGATGTAAAGGGCATCCCAATAAATAAGATGCCAATAACATTCTTAAATATTTCCTCTGGCTTAGCCCAGCTAGTTGGACTGTCTGTTTAGGGGACCCAAAAAGTGCCACAGAATAATGTTCTTTGTTTTTCTTTCAGTTTAACATCACAATAAAGATCCATTATGATGATCCAAGTTGCAATCCATCATACATTCATCCATGACTATCTCTTAGAATGGGAAAGGCAATTCCCATGCTTAAGTTTCAACAGTGTCATTAATATTAAAGACAATGTGTTTCCAAAGATGAACAAAACAGACATTCAGTTTACATATACACTCATTTGCTTGCTGTGCTCAGAATTAATTAAATAAATAAATGGAGTTTCTGCCATGTATTATACAATTCCCATTTCAAATGTGTACTCTCTTTCGACAGGGAGATGAAAAGGAGGCATGGATGTGTTTATTTTTGTTTCTTTCCCAATGTATATTGCTGTTTGTGGCATTTTTGTATCTTACTTTAGCCTCAATAAATGCTGAAGGGGAAGGTAATTCCCTAATCCTTTCATGGCCCATTTCTGAGGGATGTATTTGCCTGGAATTGTCTAAACACAGGCTGTATAATGAAACATGCAGCTAAAATGCCAGGGATTTATATATATGTATATTTTCATCTTCCACCAAAAAGACAGCAAAGTGGACTTCATGAGAGGGTTCCATAATCAAGCCCCAACTACCATAAGCATCTCTCTAGCTATTTTGACAGCAGAGGGAGGGAACTCCAAAGATTACATCAAAGTACAGGTTGGTTTATATGCTAGTAGGCTATGAGCAGGTTTAAAGGCCATCACCAGGCATTTGAATTGGTTTGGACACAGAGAGATTTTCAAAACGTGTCTGTTAAGTGGCTGTATCCACTCTGTAATCCACTGTTTCTATTTGGTTTAGTTGTGGAATCGAGATCTGAGCAACTGCAATCCAAATAACATCTTTCCTACCCTTCTGCTACATTATCTCTAGGTAGCACTGTGCCACGTTATAGTGCAAATAAAAAGAGTTTCTTTCATTTCCCCAAATAAATGCTGCATTTTCCCTGTTCTAAGTGGGAATGCTCATTAGACACAGAGGAGAAACTGAAGTGAATGATGAGTGCATAATAAATTTTTCATGTAGAAAAATTCAGAGGGTGCTTCTGGACAAGGCTTTTTGGGTGCCATCACCCTTCCTCATGCATGGAATTTGACACAGGTGTTGGCAAATGATATCGTCTTCCACTCATAACAAGGAACTGTTACGAGTGGAAGCAGCAGGGTTCTTCCATGGCTTCTTCCATTTTCAAAATGTAAAATCTATTAAACAAAGGTAGGCAGCATAGTTTCACAATGCCTTCCAACTGTTCGTGCTAGGAACCCTTTGGAAGCACCCAGATGGGAGCCAGGGAGGATACTTCATTACAGGCAAGCTGCATTTCAAGTGTCCTGTCCTAGGTAGCAATTTTGCAGTTGTATGATACACAAACTGCAGCTTCTGAGCTGTCTTCAAAGACTGGCAGATAGATGTACACTATATTGGAGGTTGCAAACACAGCAATACCTAAAACTAGATTCTCTGTATCAGAGTAGAGTTGCAGTTGGCACACAAGCCAAATCAAGTGAAAGGTGCAGCTGGCCACAAAGGCGCATGGCAATTGCAGTGTTGGAACTTGAGCCTGGTGCCTTGCTGATGGGTCTGACTACAGCTACCACCTTCCTTAACCTACATGGCCACCGAACATGACGACTGGTGGGGTGAGTGCTGTCATCCAACACATCAGCAGCATGCTGGGTGGGCCAAGCAGCTGTTGCTCCTTTAAGGCAGGTGTGGGGGCCATGATGCCCTCCAGGTGATGGTAGCTTGCTGCTCCCATCACCTGAGCTAGCATAGCTGGTGGTGAGGAATCATGGGAATTATTGTTCAGCAATATCTGAAGGGCTGCAAATTCTCCATCCTGGCCTTAGGGCAAGTGTGACTTCGTCCAAAGCAGTTTGGACACATGAACCTCAGCAGTGACATTTCCTTGCCATTGTATAGGTTTTCTTGGTCTTACAAACATCCCTCACAATTCAGTGATGCCAAGATGTTTTCCATCGTTGCATTAACCTTGGCAAACATGGAAGAATGATTTTAAAAACCTGTCACCTCATGGTTTATGCATATTTAGAAATAATTACAAGGATTTATTAAATCTTTGTAACAGGAGGGAAAACCCACCAATTAATTCCTCATCTAAAGAATCTCAAATACATTATATTCATCTTATCTGTATCCTGCCCCAGATAATTCCAAACAATAAAGTACTTTTTATTATCTTAAATAATTCAATGCAGCTGAAGATTATAGTGGTGGTGGTGGTGGTAAGAATTAACCTTTCCTGCTGCAATCTGGCACCCAGGACTCTGTGGAATAGATTTTGGGACTTGAGAAATAGGCCTACCCCTAGGAGTGCTGCTGGGTTGTTAGTATCCATATTTGCAGATTAAAAACCAAAGCAAGCCTTCTCCTGCCTGAGGCTTTGCTGAAGGAGATACTCACTTGAGAGGATCTATACGGCTTAAGATTTGGGCACTATGAACAGACCTCCTGACAGTATTAAACACAGGAAGTAATTAGGTAGGCCAAGTAGACATTTGCCCCTCATGAATGAACAGGTAGCGTTAAATTGAGGCAGCTTTCAGAGAGTTTAGATCCTGGACTGGTTTTGTGTGGGGAAGCCTTGGAAACTATGAAGTGATAGGGTGTAGAGACATTTAGCTCTGGGCATTGCAGAGTCTTTACCAGGGAAAAACCACAATAACGGCTCTCCACACAGCTTAGCAGGTGAAACTAGCACCTGGAACCCCACCTTGAACCACATGTTACTTCTGTAGATGAAGCCAGCTGTCCTGGCACAGCCAGCTGTTTTGTTGGTCATCCTTCGAGATAAGAAATTAACTTCATATTTGAATATGCCAGCATGCACACACACCTGTTTCTTCATGCCACGAGTAAAAAATAAACTGGGAAAGCATCACCATATTTGCAGTGGGGGCAGTCACCTAATCCTTCATTAGCTCTTTTCAAAGTCAGCTCTGTCACAAAAGAATTCTGTTCTCTCTTTCCTTCATTGCTGAAGGGCAACTACTAATGTTCTTTTCTATTTATTTTAATTAGCAGCTTGCGGCAGGGACTATTAAGCAGCAAAATTGAACTGGTACCTGCCACCGGTCTCAGAGGGGAGACAGCTTTGGTACTAAGACAGGCTAACTATGCAGATCCTGGAAAATAGGATGGAACTTCTTGTGCTGGAAAAAATTAGACTAGACTGGAACAAGCGGGGCCTGTAACATGGAGTTCTAATCTAGCCAGCCATGCCTTCTTCCACAGTGGTCTAATCCATGTACCCTTCTGCTCAGTTGGTGTTTCCCCCACAAAAGCTGTCACTATTCCCAGGCCCTTAGCCCTTATTGGGCTGTTTTTGGGATTCCCACCAGTCCACCTGAGGTTTTTCCCCCTAAAGTTTTTTTTAACGCTTCTTCGAATCTTGGGGCTCTGAGAGTTTTCTTATACCCCCTTCTTGTATATGGATGGTGCAGTTTTGGCTATATAAATACCAGCATTCATGGCTCAAGGTGAGAAATACAGGGGATGGAATGTGATAATACCCTATTTAATGGCAGGAGTCACCATTTTGTATTGATCTTCAGTATTTAATGGAGGCATCAGGTCTCTGATTTCTGTCTGGACCCAGTACCCTCTGGCTGTGAATGGGTCTACGAGTTTATAATCAACTGCAATGACTAAGTTATTGGTTGGTTGACTGACAGACTGATTGATTAAATATTCACTGACCAATATATGTGTGAGGGCTGGTTGCGGTTACTCATTTACTACGAAAAGATGCCCACCATTTTTGTGAGCCGCCCTGAGGCTTCGGCAAATGGGGCGGCATAGAAATTTTCTATATAAATAAATAAATAAATAAATAAATAAATAAATAAAATTCTCTTAGTTTTTTTCTTTCTCATATCTCCCAATTTTACATTTCAGTAGCAGGTCTTTCAGGTAGAAGAGTCTCGTCTTTGCACACATGTAAGTGCAATTCTAGATGTAAGTAGTTTATAAAGGCTATTAAATGAATAATTCATACATCGTAGGTACGTGAAAAGCCTAGGTCAGGTTTTTTTTGAGGACGTAAGGTCTAGTGCAGGTGCGGAACGTTAATTACTACCAAGGTTTCTTTGAAAGACGATGTGATAGTTTGACATGGCCTCCATGCCAGGCCTCCCCTTCCCACTCCAACCAGATCTGGCACTGCCTGCTACCTTCTGTGGTCAGGCTGTCAACAAAGCGGGAAGCAGAAGTGGTGACTTCCTCCCTCAGAGCTGTGGAGAGACTGCTGCTAGGGAATGTCGAGAAGTAATGCTCATCGTCTTCATAGTCTGCACAGGTCTTGTCTGCTGCCTGAAATGATAAGCCAAATCCACAGTAATTGTGCCGCTGCCCCTTTTTATAATCCTGTTCCTCAAAGGGTGGGCTTTCGGGCCCCCTGGAGCCTCCACCAAGCCCCTCCAAAGTAGCCCATCCATCACCACCGTCTGCCCCTTTTAGTGGCCTCTGGTACCCTAAGTCTTGGTTAACTCACATGTACCAGATGTTTTTGACTACAACTCCCATGGCCAATGGCAGGCTGGCTGGAGATGATGGAAGTTCTGGTGCCAAATATCTAGAGAGACCAGGCTGGAGAAAACTTCCCTAAGCTTAAATCCAACCTCTATTTCTGACTTCGTGCACTGGTACATGGATGTAAAGAAGTACATGCTGTACAAGGAAACACAACCTCTCTGGTAACTCCAGCAGCATAACTGAGAGGGTTTAATTTTCTTCCCTTTTTTCCCTCTTATGTAAAATGTTTTCCAGGATTTATCTCTCTCTGATTGTAGGATATTTGCCCCTCCCTGCCTCTTGCCAACTGTATATCATCCCCTGAATTTTATTTTCTCCAGTCTCAGTATTCCATTCATCCTTTCTTCCACAAAGTCCTTGGGGGTTGGAAAAGGGTGGCTGCAGTTTTTTTAACTGTGAATGCCTATCAATCCAGCTGCCACCTTCCTGACATTCAATGTTGCCCTTATCTTTGCCAACATTTCCCCACCATGTTATTTTCTTTCTGTTTCTGCCCTTGCATTTTCTTTCTGTGCTCCCAACACCCTGTGAACTCCAATTATCCTTTGTGCATGTTCAAATATGCTTTTTGGTTTTTGCATTCACTTTTGCTTTGTTTTGAGTTAATCTGATTTATTTGATGTCTATTTATTGTTCTATATAGCATTATTGTTTTAATTGTCACTGATGTTATTAGATGTTTTTAAATTGTTCTTTTAAATTGCTGTAAGCTGTCCTGAGATATTTATATAAAGGATGGCATATAAAAGTTTTTAATACCCAACCTATGGAATTCACTCCCCAAAGAGGTCCGCCTGGCACCATCGTTACTGGTTTTTCGGCGCCAGG